GTATTGAACACTTAAAGAGCAAAGTACACACAGACAGGTTTCTCTGCAATCTTAACTCTGCCATCTTCCTCTTCCGGATGACACTGCCCCTTAGTCAATTTAAATGATGTCTCCGTCAAGAACACATTCTCTTAGAAAAAGGAATGGTAGCTATAGGTGAAGTCATTCAAAGGTAGTGGCAGACAATGGGAATACAAAAGGAAATCACTATATGAAAATTGAGGTTGATTCACCACTGTATGTGGCCAGGCATTTTGTGATAAAGTTATAGCTGGGTTGAATGTAAAACAAAAGATCTGAATAACTAGAATGCAAGGATTGATCAAGATATTGTGAAAGCAAGTCTACTCCCCTCTCCACAGCAGGACTTTTAATTACTATTTGAAGTTATTAAGAAAATTCCTTGAAAATACTTAATGGAAAACCATTTTGGATTCTATATTTTACATGTTTCAATTTTAAAAGAAAAAATAAGGTTGAGAGCTTTGTGGTAGATTGAACAAGATTGTGTCCGAGAGCATGATATTTGAGTTGACATTTCATCCAAGGCCTCCAGATAGAAGAGATATTGTGTGCTGAGTTTAGATTCTAGATTAAAATAGACTTTACAAAGAAAATGGTAGTGAACTACTTACACAGTTCTTGTCCTCCTGAGAGATTCTGAAAAAGGCAAGGAGAATAGATTTAGTGAGGAGGAAGTTTGGAGTGTAGTAAATCACTACACATGTCTATGGAGTGGAGGTGGAGGCGAAGTCTTTGTCCCATCACTTCAAAGACTAGAAAGAAAAGGGTTTCAAAGCACCAATTAGAGGAATTGATATGCAGAATTTTCATGGCAGTAAGTGGGGTGAAAGTGGACCAGGTTTTTACTACTTTACAAGAAAGGAATAAGAGACATTTTGGCAGAGTCAGGAAAATTGATGTTGCTCCCTGACAGGTTGATGAATTTTTCCATGTACCAAAAACTAACCACAAACCAGGGAGTGTTGAATGGAGTATCTTACAGTTTCTTAAAAAGGGCTAATGGACTTTATTAGTTATAAGTTGCAGATGGATAAGAGTTCCCTCAAAGAGTACAGGCATCACACAGTATTCTCTAGGATAGAGACAAGTTGATGCAAATCAAGGACTGTGAGCAAGATATCATCTCTGTGACAGGAATCCAAAATCCCATCAAATTGTCTGTTTCTACATGGCCCCAGCTAGAATACAGAATATGATGTTACCAAGTCAAGTCAAAGCAGTCATACGTACTTTTTATTTCTTCATTTTTGTACTCCAACTCCATAGGAGCCATGTGCCAGGGAGAAAGGGAGAGAAAAGAGCAAATGAACTTCCCACAACTTTTCCCTTGAGCAAGGGGATCCTTTTAAAATAAGAAAAGATTGGTTGGAGTTTATTATTACAAGAGCTTAAGGTAACATTGGCTTGGATAGTTTAAGATGACCATGCAACCATTAGGGAGCTCCGGTGGCTTAGTAAGGACTGCCAACCAAAAGGCGTATAGTTCAAGTCCAGCTACTTCATGGAAGAAAGATGAGAAATCACCTCCTGTGTGATTTACAGCCTCTGAAAAACCTCCAGGAGGGTCAACTATAAGTCAAATCCAATTAGATAGTAGTAAGAGTTTATAGAACTATTAAAAGTGAGCAGAAAGTTAAAGAATTCGCTAAATTTCCTTATGGTGACAGGGGAACATCTTATTTCATGAAATAAGCTTTAACGAATTAGAAAAGAATAAGGGAGAGGCCCGAAGGGGAAAGTGGTTAAACTCTAGGCTGCTGGCCAGAAAGTTAGCGGTTGGAACCCAACAGCTTCTCCCCGGGAGAAAGATGAGTTGGATTGCTCCCATTAAGATTTGCAGCCTTGGGAAGCCCAAGGAACAGTTCTACTGGTTTCTTCGTAGGGTCTCTATGAGCTGGAATCAACTCCAAGTCAATAAGTGTAGGGTTTGTTTCAGGAGGCTCCGGAAAACAAGTTGATGGCACATATATGATATCAATTTGAATTATTATCTAACAGTAAGTAAATACTGAAAACGTTAATCATTTTCATAAGAAGAAAATCCATGGTATAAATAACCACTCTTATTCTAACCCCTATTGTGCTGGGATTTCTACCATCAAGCATTCACATTCAAAACAAGAAGCCTTGCACTGTTTTTCAGATCGTCAGTCATATCGAGATCCTCAGTGCAGTAATAGCTAAGCACTGGGCTTCCAACTGAAAGGTCAGCAGTTCAAACCCACTCGCTGCTCTTGCGTTAATGATATGGCAGTGTTCCACCTTAAAAATCTGCTCTGTCCTATAGAGTCACTATGCATTGGAACCTACTTGAAGACAATGGGCTTGTGAATTTTTTTTTTCCTTTCCAGATTCAAACAGTGTCACATGGCTCTTTTAGCTAGCCAAGTAGAAAACAACTAAACAACTTGAATCCTGGGTCAGAGATTGACAGAAGGAAACGACACCTAAGTTTAAAATGTGAAAGCTGCTTTGGAGAAATATGCTAAAAGTAGTGGTTTGGAGAACCACAATACTTTGGACACAAATAGAAACAGCAAGACACATAAAGAACTCTTTCTTTATAGCATGGTTGCTTCTCTAACTTGAGTCAATTTATAATTTTATCCTCTATTGTTAGCCCTTGAATAGACTTGAAGGCATGTTTGACAGACTCAGGCATATATAGAAAAGCAATAGTCATTTTGTTTGTTGGCATAATTGCTCTTCTTTCCTCCCAACCAGTATTACTGCTATATTTGGCTCATGTAGTCTAAATGGGAGGTTGGTTTGTTTTTGTTAAGGGTTCCTCCCCCCTTCTTTCCTTTTCTTTGTAAATTCTATGGGACCCAGTTCTACTCTGACACACATGGGGTCATCATTAATCAGAAATGACTTGGCAGGAACTAGTTTTGGTGTGTTTAATAAAGAAGCCAAAAACTATTCACACTCTTTGTGTGCCCAGTAGAAAATAAACAGGACATTGGAATCAGAGATTTCTATATGAATTTAGGTGTTGCTATGTACTTGAAAGTTAAATTATGTCTATTGAAGATATTTCAAAATTATGAACACATTATTGAACCTGGCAGCACCTTTCATTCAAGAAACACAGTGGGTAGTCCTTTCCAGACTGATTCACTTCCTCTTGGTGCATTTTTGATATTTTTTTTCTAGGAGTATATTCTAAAAGAATGTAGTGTGAGTGAGAATTTGTGTGAAGGTAGAATAGATAACTAGCCATTGAAACTAAATCCACTGCCTTAAAATCAAGTGCAACTCAAAATGATCCTACACTGGACATCCGTTGAACGTAAACCTTTGCAAGAGGAGACTGCTGGATATTTCACCTTGGAACAGCTTTGCACTGCCAGCTTTTTGGATAGCAGCCCAATACTTAATCTATTTTGGCTCTGGAGCTCCTTAACTAGAACTCCCTGGAAATACTGAGTAGTAGAAGAAGAGTATTCGTGGAGTACTAATAGCCTACATTTTTGACCCATAAAACATCTTGCATACACACAAGATTATTGCAGGGTCATCAACTCTCAAGAAAACAAGGAATGCAAACACATAAAAGGAAACAAAACACAAATGAAAGGATTGAGAGGAATGTTTTCCTTCACTGATAGGGGCAACACACCCCACTTACAAGATAGAGATTCACAGGCCTGCCAACAACACAAATAGATTTTAAGAAAAAGAAAAGACCTACATGCCATTCACTCCTTAACAGAAAATGTAATGTTAACAACACCTAAGTAGTTCTTGTTTGTTTTTGTTCTATTCAATGATTCAAAATCAGCTGGTAGGTGAAAAGTGACTTGAGAAAAGTAAAAACAAAACCAAACACTGACTCTTTGTAGCTTATGATCTGTTTCTAGCGTTAGCAACATGTTTTGTACTAGGAGAACAGAATAGAATAAAGTTGAGCTTTGGGTGCAGATATGAATGTTAAGAAAGTAGCTGATAGAAGAAAGAATGGCTACTAGTGATGACAGGGTCTCTGCCATGGTGGTTTGCTTTATCTAAGAAGGAGGATAAAAACTGGAACTAAAAACCTACAGAAGGGGAATAACAGGAAGTCCTAGCTGAGGGCCAAGTGACCACCCAGAGCTAATAATTCAGCACTCTGTCCCAGCTTTACAACTAAGTACTGTGTGTGGGGGGGAGGTTATTTTTTGTTTTTACTGTCTAATCAGTTTCAGAACTAAAAGACGAATTTTATTGGGAAAGTCTGCTGTCAGAGACCTCTCTAAAGTGCTAAAGAGTAATGATGTCAGTCTAGAGACTAAGGTGTGCCTGATCCAGGCCATAGTCTTTGCAATTACTTGCTATGCATCATAAAGCTGGACAATGACTAGGGATGATAGAAGGATGATTGATGCCTTTGAGCTATTGTGCTGGAGAGGAGTGTTGAATACACATACTATGGACTACAGGAGAATACACAGGTTTGTCCTAGAGAGGGTGAGACCAGCCTGCTCCTTGGAGGCAAGGATTCTGAAGCTTGGTCTGACATACTTTGGACATGTTGCAAGGTGAGACCAGTCCTTGGAGAGGGAGTGGAGAGGGGTGAAGGGACAGCACCAGAAAGAAAGACCCGAGATGAGATGAACTGATTCAGTGGCTGGAGTAATGGAGGTAGGTGTGTGAGAAACAATCAGATTGGCACAGGATAGAGCAGAGTCTCGAACTGACTGTTGTAAATAGGGTCGTTATGTGTCGCTGACAAGTCAACGACACATAACAACAAGTCAATTCCTATTCATAACAACCACGGGTTGGAAAGTAGACTGCTTCCATGGCTGATTCTGGGGAAGGAGATCACCAGGCTTTCCTTTCCAAGTCATCTCCAGATGGACTGGAACCTGTAACATTCTGGTTAACAGTGAAAAATGGTAATCTTTTGCAGCCTTCAAGGTGTTATGAAAGTTTTAGAAAGATAGTAATAAGAGAAAAGGAATGAGATCTATTAACATTTTCTTTGTTTCTAGGAGAGTGGATGTTCCCTCTCTCTTCCTGGAAGGCCACTCCCACCCACCATCTCTACGATCCCTCCTTGGATGAACCAGCCTGCTTCTGCCTACAATAGCAAACCAGCCGATGGGTCAGAGAAAACAAGAAAGAGACTAACTCCTTGGGAAGCAGCTGCAAAGTCTCCTCTTGGCCTAGTTGATGATGCCTTCAGACCCAGGAACATCCAGGAGTCCATTGTGGCAAACGTTGTCTCAGCAGCTAGAAGGAAGGTGCTCTCAGTGCCCTCAGAGAATTGGAAAGAGAGGGTGTCCTATGCTCCTCAAACCCAGAAAGCCAACATAAGCTCACTTGGAAGGCATGAGTATAGTGTCGCCTCCATACCCAGTAATAGAATGTCCACAAGTTCACAGTATGGATCACAGTTACCGTGTGCGTATTATAGGCAGCCTTCCAGAAATGATTCTGAGATCATGTCCATGGAAACCAGGTCTGATTACTGTCTCTCAGTAGCCGACTGCAATTATAATGCACACCCCAGAGGTTGGAGGCGTCAAACATAAAAATGGAAAGAATTCTACTGTGCATTACCTATAACATCAACAACAAAGTGTGTTTCTTTGTAGGGTTTTGCATTTTTCCGATGGATTCACTTTTGTCCTTGTTCTGTTCTCACAGACAAGTATTTGAGTGTGTGTGTGTGTGTGTGTGTGTGTGTGTGTGTGTGAGAGAGAGAGAGACAGAGAGAGACAGAGAGAGAATGTGGATCACATGAGTGTGGAACACTTCCTTGTGTGTGAATGACTAGAGAATTTCTTAGACGAAAAAGTTCAGTTTCTGCATTGGTGTGCTAGCACTTGTATGTAACTCATACTCTTAAGGCCCTTTGTAGGGGGTCATCTAGATAAAGAAACTCTGCTACTTAAAATGAAAGCATTTTCTTCTGTGTGCCATAGTCCAGGAAAGAGGATGTAATGTGAGTGCTAATTGTCACTAGTGGTAACTTGCAAGGGAAGTTTTTAATAGGTGCAAGTCAATGAATAATGATTATAGAGAAAGGAAGTTCCTTGGCATTCTTTTAAGTATTTCTGAGAAAGACTAAAATAAATCTAACAAAGTACAGATTTCTTTTTTAAGAAAATTAAATATAGGTGTTCTCAGAAATAAACAATTTGTGAAAGTAAGATGATTCTTTCAGAAGAACATCTGAGGTAATGGTGTGATGCATGGAAAGTAGAAAGATTTAGGTACGAGATTTACTGAAGCCCTGGTGATGCAGTGGTTAGGTCTTCATATTCTAAGCAAAAGATGTGTTTCAAACCTATTAGCTACTTTGTGGAAAAAATATGCAGCGATGTTTTTATGTAAAAAATTACAGCTTTGTAAAATCTATGAGGCAGTTCAACTACATCTAACAGAGTCAGTATGTGTCAGAATTGCCAAGACAGAAATGGATTTTTTTTTTAAATTTATGGGGTTTTTTAGCTTAAGACAGAAATAGAGTCTGGGTTCACGTATTTCATTTAAAGTGAGAAGGTTAGATTTTTCTAATCTCAGATCTTTTACAGCTCTGATGTTTTTTAAGACTCTTTTATCAGTAGAAGGATGCTTAATGGGTTATTAATTCTTCTCATCATCATAAAGATATCAGATGATGTTTAGGAGTGGATTAGGTAATTGTTGCCCCTTCTCTTGTCATTAAAATCTCAAAGGAAATTGCTAAGCAGTAGGCTTTGTGTTATGTGTTACATGGAGTGAGGAGTGATATGAAGGACAAACACTATGAATGGACTTGAGGAAGTGGTAGATGATGTGTCTGTTGGTATGCAATGTTGGTAGTGACCACTTATGTAGCTATAGCAAATGTGCCACAGAAGCCTACACATTTGGTAGTACTTCTTTAGAAAGCCATCATTAGGATGTTTAAAAGAAGTGAACCAGCTACTTCATCACACCCATGCCCCATGCTTGGTTAGCATGACCAGGAAACAGACCAAGCACAATACTGTTCTTACTGCCATTCCCAGAAAGTAAAATAAAAGGCCATTCAAAGGATTTTTTCTATCATAAGTAAGCATTCAGAAAATTTAAAAAGAAAAAACTAACTTGAGCGTCCAACGTTTGCTAGGTTTAACACTATTGTTTTTGTTTTGTTCCACCTATCATTATGATGGTCTCTTTCAAGAACTGAGATGGTAAGGGGGGGAAATGTTCAGTTAATATGATCTCTCAGTTTGGACAAAAGAAAAAAAATTGAAATTCAGGCATTAAAATAAGTTCTATTATTGATGAATATGTTCCAAAGTGCTATTTGAAAATTAAGTTCTAATTAGTCTAATGTTAATTCTCTCCAATAATAAGATTTAATCATTGATATTGGAAGCAAGAGTGGCATCCACTTTCTAAACAGCATGCCTCTGAAAACTTGATGAACTTTAATAAATGTTGATAATTATAGAATGGCTTCAGGCCTTTTGTTCATAGGGTCACTATGAATCGTGCCCAACTCGACGGCAATCAACAACAACAACAACGACAATAATTGATATATGCTGTATTGATTACTCTGTCAATGAATTTCCAATCATCCTCACATAAAATATTTATATGCTTCTATATATAGTATACTGGTTGGATAATTCTTGATTTGGCTGTTTTAAGACAGGACAAGTGAGTAGAAAAATTATGCTTGTTAAGGTCATACTATATTTCTATTATAAGTGCTAAGAATTATTTTCAACACTGTTGTACATGATATTATTCATGGAGACGTTCACTAAATTCAAAACACAGAAAAGCATACATTTTAAATATTGTCATTATAAAATAAGAGCTCAATATCATTGCATGTAATAGATCAATTTTTTTAAAGTATGCAGATTTATTCCAGGTATCAAGAAAGAGACAGTGTAACAAAGTCATATGTTTCATTTTATTCCCAAGAAAATAGAGGTCTTTTATATTTTTAATGGAAATGGCTGAATGTTACAGGCAGTCATACTTTGCAGATATAGTTCTGAAAGTAAAAGTGCTGGGGCCAAATCTACACAAAATGGATTATGGGTATTTAACTCCAGCATTTAGAAATGAAAAAAGTTAGACTGCTAGCATTCAAGCTAATGATGGAAACAGGACACTTAGCTCCTGAGATATGATTCCTATAGATGAGAAGTTCTAAAAACAATAGTTCCCAAAAAGAAAATGAGTTGTACTTGTATTTCAAATAACAAATTTCCATCTGCCTGAAAAAAAACTATTTCCTTACAAATATCTTATTTCTTGTAAGAAATGTACTAGTAGAAATCACATGGAGAGAGAGTATCTGTTTTACTGTAGATGAATAAGCATTCTCTAAAGTTTTGATCTTATAGTTAGGTAAAACTCATTGCATGTGTGTGAAATGACCATTATTAAGTTTCTTTCAATTTTATCTTGTATGCTAACTTTTATAAATTCACAGATTCTGTTCTAATTATATCTCTTTGAATGAATTTATTATTACTTGTATTAGAAAGAGTTGTCTTATTAGGACTCAAAAACATACATATTTACTTACCATAAAGAAAATTATTGTTTGGTAGCTTTAAATTTTGTTAGCAGGTAGAACACAACTAGAGGTACCTGATGATCTGCTTTTGGAAAATGACGGCCTTGAAAACATGATGAAGCCGTTCTAATCTGCATACATTGGATCATCAGAGTTTGAATTAATTCACTGCAACATTAAATAGCTAGCAACAGCAACAACAACACAGATTCATGTATATATATTTATGAATTAAAACTTGAAATAAATAGGCTTAGTTATTTTAATTAGAGAGGAACAGTAGAAATGTGTGTTTTTAAGAGAAAGTAGCTTCTCATATTTAGTTTCCATTCGAAGTAGAAGTATCTGCATTTGCAATACCTTTCTATTAAAATATGGAAAGAAAAAAGAAGATGTTCTCTTGGTGGACATTTCCCCGTCTGTTCACCCCTAAAGCTTGTATTGGAAAGATGCATATTGAATATGAAAACTGTATTAATAAAAAATAAAACAAAGTTAAAGAATATTTTCTTTTTTCCCCTCATAAAAATGACGTTTTTTTCACTTTAATGAAGGCTTAATTTCGTCAACTACATTTTTATATTTTTATTTTCTGTAATAACAGCTTTTAGTCACATGTAAAGAATTTCATGCTGACTGGCAACATTTTGACTGTAACTAATTTAACTGCAATTTAAATTTTTTTGAAAAAGACAGGGGGGAAAGAAAAAAAAGAAATTAAAAATGACTGTCATAAAACAAATGGATCAGAAGAGAACAAGTGAACACAGACATAAGAAAACATCAACCTACATTGCTTTTGAGTTAGAGAAGTAGATACAAGATCTTAAAAAGCTAACTAAGAGATATCTCTACATTCTTTTTTTTATTTTATAGCTTTCTCATTTAATTTTTTGTTAACAATCTATACTATTAATGATTGAAGTGAAAAAACTTATCTAAAGATAGGACCATGTCATAAGTATAAAGTTTGAGAAGCACATATTTTAATATTATTTTTCATTAATTCTTTCCATTTGATATATTGAAAATTAGGCCCAAGGGCCAGTTCAACCAGTGTTAATATGGCTTGACAAAAACTACTCTGAACTCACACACAAATCTGCTGTGTTTGTCATTTCTAAAACTTCCAATTACTTTTCTTTATTAAGTTGGTTCAAGCCTGAACTCTGTTAACACATTGCCACAAATGAAAGCAAAATGTGTTTCTAAGCACGGTTGTCAATTTAAAAGTGTACGGCAACGTGTTAAACAAACCTTCATTATAATGAAATTTATTTTAAACACGTAGGGTTACCGTAAGTCAGTATTGACTCCACTACAAAGAGTCTTAAAGAAAACTTTAAAAAGAGGACTAGGTTTATCTACGCAATATTGAAGCTATCAGCTGGAATATGAGTTCACTGACCAATTGATAGGTTGTTTCCTCCAAAACATGCAGCATCCAGCTTTTTGACATGTACAAAAAATAATAATGTATTTAAATGGCTATTTGGGGCTTTCTGATGAAAATAAAGAGGTTAATAATATATAAAAATATTTTTTACCCAGAGAAATTTTTAGTATAATTTCTTGTTAAGTGCCATTGAATCAATACTGACTCATAAGAGCACAATGCAGTCGGATCCTGTTCCATCATCACAATTGTTTCTCTGTTCAAGGTCAGTTTTGCAGTCACTGAGTTCAGCAATCTCTTTAGAAGTCTTGTCTTTTTTGCTGACCTTCTACTTTGCCAAGCATGATCTTTTTCTGGGACTGGTCTCGCCTGACAATGTCCAAACATGTGAAACAAAATCTTGTCACCTTGGCTTCTAAGGATCATTTTGATTGTACCTCTTTCAAGACATGTAAGTCCATGGTGTATCTAACCAATATCATAATTCAAATATATCAATTCTTATTCAGTCTTCTTTATTCACTGTCTGGCTTTTGTATACAACTGAAGTGACTAAAAATACGATAGCTTGGGTTGGGCCCACCTTAGCTGTCTAAATTGACATAAAATCTTTTTAACAC